CTCCAGTCTGGGCGACCGAGTGAGACTCCAACTCAAAAAAAAAAAAAAAATTAAATAGTTTTACTTCCAGTTATTTTCTTAGGCAAATGAATGACTGCATATCTTCAACAGAAAGTTGTTCAACTATAAAATGACTTTCTAATGTCTATTTCACAAAATTAAGCAATCAAATGTAAAGAGTGAAATATTTACACACATTTACACACATACACACAAATAACTGGACTTTTGACAAATATTAAAAACTTGCAATTACAGTACAGTAACTAATTCTGGGCCAAATTAGTAAGCTGTTCATTAGAAGAGTAACAAAAGGACCTTAATTTATTAATAGTGCATTTAAACCCTAGTTAATAAAGAAAAAAGATACCTCCCTTAGGTTCCAAGTGACAAAACTGATTGACTAAATAGACACTGTATTTTAATCAAAGTAATAAGGATAGAAAAAAATAGAATTTAAATCCAGAATTTCAGAGTTAGATCAAACTGCATTGCCAAAAGTCCAGTTATATTTGTATTGCCAATGCTGTATTCAGCAACTTGGGGAGTATTTGCAAAGATTTTAATTCTAAGGTAACCTCACTCCTCTTTTCTTGGCACCACCGCTCCAGGCACCATTAATTTGAGTAGAAGAAGAATGGAAACTAATCCCTTTATTACAAGAATATATCGAATTTCCTTAAACTTACATAGAATTATGAACTGTCCATACCACATTTTCTCCTCATCCACTACTTCTACTTATGTTGAAAACATATTGAAGGGTTGTTTTAATATTATATAAAGTGTTACCAAACAATATGGAACTATTATTTTTCTATCATCTATACTACCATAATGAACAATTCATTCCAAAAAATTTTGATGAAAGATACTTAATAGCAACTAGCTTATTTATAAAAGTCTGTGTTTTAAAAAAATTAGAATGTTAAAAAGTACATATAAAAGAGTTCAGCTTATTTACTGAAGTAATTAATTTTTATTCTTACAATAGCTTATTTCCAATATAGTCTGCATTAATGTTTATTACAGCACCTGTTACACCATACTGACAGACCGTAAATGTCTATATTATTTTAACTAAACTCTAGCTAGCAAGGCTAGGAGATAAATTTAAGTAAAACTCAAACTACTATGACGATGAGAATATTCTGCTCCAAATTCACTTAAATAATTTTAGAACAATGAAACTTTTTTTAAAAGGTAAAGAAATACATATTTGTTTACTGAAAAGCTGAAAATAAGTTTTCCTATGGAAAAACTTAGTATGAGAAGAATAACATTCCGCTTTACTATACTCCTATGTTAAAAAAAATCCCATCTACAATTTTGTCTATGATTTCCTTAAAAGCATTGATATATAGAATCTAGTTTTTTAAAAAAAAGCCATAACATTTGTTTCCTCAATTACAAAATGGAGATCTAAAAAGTAAATATTAGAAGCCTTCTAATGTATTTTCACATATTCATAAACTTTTTCTCAATACCTATTAGCTATTGGAGATGCAGAGATAAAGGAGTTCCAACTTTCAACTACTACATTAGTTGTGTAGACAGAAAATTACAACCCTGTGTAGTGCTCTAGGAACTCACAGCAAGCATTATCTAACTCAGCTGGAAAGTTAGGGAAATTATCTAGAGTAGTATTTGTGCTGAATGTAGGCTTGTTTTTAAAGATATTTACATTGACTCTTAAAAGAAAAGTGTTCTACCGGTCATCATTGTGAGTGCTCTATGAACTTGATAGACAATTGTGTAGAATTATGTTCTGGGAAATTTAAGTAGCTCAAAATAACAAGATAGTGCATTATATATAGGCAAATGGGAGCAGATTAATCTGGAAAAGTTAATAAGAAGCAAGATTATGATGCTCTTATATGCTGGTTGGCACACAAACTTAAATTTTACTCTAAGAAGATGAAGAGCCACTGTGGCAGAATAATCAGTTTTCAGAAAATTCATTCTTGAAGCTCAGAAAAGGGTCATACCTAAAGCAAAAAGTATGTATGAAATGCCCATAATTAATTGCTAGAGAAAACAGAATGAGGAATATCACATAAGGAACATCAAAATTTTAGGTGTAGATGAAAGGAAAAGTCCTTAGAAAGAGACGGAGGACCTAGGTAAAAACCAAGAAAAAAACATTGCCAGGATAACTAAGGAAAAAACAGTCTCAAGAGTGAGGAAGTACCAAATGAGAATTCAAATAGATAATCAGAGAATGGAAACTATACCCTAAATGTGAAAATTAGAAAATAACAATAGGCAATTATAAAGAATACTAAAACGTTTTATTTTAGTTAAATTGCATCATATAGCACAGCTAAAATCTTAGTAAATTAGCCATTGTTAAAAACAGCAAACAAAAAGATAACTGCACACACATATTTATTGCAGTACTATTCATAATAGCAAAAGCAAAGAACCAACCAGGCTGCTCACTGAAAGTGGACTAGAAAAAAAAAATGTAGTACATATACACAATGTAATATTACACAGCCAAAAAGAAGGACAAAATTATGGATTTCAGAGCAACTTGGATGGATCTGGAGTCTATCATATTCAGTGATCTAGCACAGAAACATCGAACTCAGTACCAGATGTTCTCACTCATAAATGGACACTGAACACCTACCTAACATGATACTACAAAAAAGGGACTGGCAGCAGTGGGACACTTGAAGGGGCAGGGGGACGCATAACATCCATAAGGACGCCTGATCCTAATCCAGGCAAAATGAGGTACCACAGAAGGCCCAAAGTTTCACCTGTACTTTATTATGTACACAATCCTGACTTGTACCCCAGAACTTTAAAATTAAATTAAATTTAAAAAAAACAAACAAACAATGATTAAGGGGAAAATTTTACATACTATTATCCCAAATAAGTTTGTTAATTCAAAAGCAAACTTTGGTAATTTTGTTGTTTTTATTTTTAAAGAAAAAAAATATACACTTAAATGTAAGAGCTAAAATTATAAAATTCTTAGAAGTAAACATACAGGGAAAGCTTTATAATATTGCATTTGGCAACAATTTCTTGGATATGACATCAATGCGCATTCAACAGAAGAAAAAAATAGATGAAGTAGACTTCATCAAAATTAAAAACTTTTGTGCATCAAGGAACACTATCAAAAGGGCAAAAAGGCAGACAACCCACAGATTGAGATAAAACACTTGCAAATGATGTATTTAACAAGGGATTAATATTTAAATGTAAAAAAGAACTCCTATAACTCACCAATAAAAACATGATTTAAAAATGTGCAAAGAATTTGAGTAGACATTTGTAAAGAAGATATACAACTAGCCAATAAGAACACGTATTGAACTTTCATAAGAACAATTATAAGAATTTTTTTTTTCTTGAATTGGAGTCTCACTCTGTTGCCCAGGCTGGAGTGTGGTGGCATGCTCACAGCCACCACAGCGTCGACCTGCTGGGCTCACGAAATTCTTCTGTCTGAGCCTTCCAAGTAGATGGAGCTACAGGTGCATGCCATCACACCCAGTTGTTTTTTTATTATTATTATTGTAAAGATGAGGTCTTGCCAAGCTGCCCAGGATGGTCTAGAACCCCTGAGCTCAGGCAATCCTTTCACCTCCACCTCCCAAAATGCTGGGATTACAGGTGTGAGCCACTGCAGCCGACTCCCAGTAAGAACCTCTTTAAATGCCCAGTATCACAATCATTAGGGAAATGCAAATCAGACCCACAATAACACACCACTTGACACATATTAGGACACTATGAGAGAGGGAGAGAGAGAAGGGGCAGGGGAGGGAGGCAGGGAGGAAGGGAGGGGAGGAAGGGAGGGGAGGAAGAAGGAAGAAGGAAAGAAGGAAAGAAGGAAAGAAAGAGGAAAGAAGGGGGGAGGGAAGGAACAATAAGTTCTGGCAAGATTGTGAGGGAATTAGAGCTCTTGTATATTATTGACAGAAATGCAAAATAGTGCAGCCATTGTGGAAATGGTATGATGGTTGCTCAAAAAACGAAACACAGAACTACCATAACATTCAGCAATTCCTCTACTAGGTATATAATGAAAAGAATAGAGCCAAAGGACTGAACAGGATATTTATACAACCATATTCATAATTGCATTATTCACAATAGCCAGAAGGTAGAAGCAACTCAAGTGTCCATCAACAGATGAATGAATAAACAAACTGTGCTAGACACATGCAATGGGATATTATCCAGCCTTAAAAAGAAAAGAAATTCTGACACATGCTACAACGTGGATGAACCTTGAAGACATTATGTCAAGTGAAATAAACCAGTGACATAAAAACAAATATTGTGTGATTCCACTTATGTGACATACATAGAGTAGTCAGTCTCACTCAGACAATGGTGGTTGTCAGGGATGGTAGAAAGTAGAAGGGAGGAATAGTTATTGTTCAGTAAGTACAGTTTAATCTGGCAAGATGAAAAATTCTAGAGATGTACATTACTGATGGTCACAGAACAACATAAACGTACTTAATGTCACAAAATTATACCTTAAAAATAGTTATAATGGTAAATTTTATGTTATGCATATTTTGCCACAATTTTAAAAATGGAAAAAAAAATAG